TAGCCCTTGTGCAACGGGCACAATGCAGAAGTGCAAACAGGGCTGGCCTGGCTGTGCTGGTGTTCAGCTGTCTGCCTCTGTGGGGCAAGGCCGTGCTCTCACTGCCTTTGGCTGGGGATTTCCCTGCTCCAGGAGCACCGTGGAGCAGCCCCGGGCTCTGCCTGCTCTGTGCCGCAGGGAATTTCTGCCAGGAGCTGCCCCCTGGCACAGCCCTGCTCCCAGCACGCTGCTGCAGCCCCCGGGTCCTGCACCACCCAGCACCAATCCTGCTCTGCTCCTCGGTCCGACCGACAGACAGCAGCGGGAGAGCCCCGCCAGGCCTCAGCCCGTCTTTCCACTTTTGCACAACAGCGTACAACAGAAGTGATGCACCCATTGCAAAACAGCGAACGGGCCAGGAGAGCCAAGAGACACAATATTCATGGGCAGCCCGTGGGAGCTGAGGTCTGTTTGTCAGGATATTTCAGCGCACGAACTCGCAAACCTTCTACAACGTCCTCCCAGCCCACACGCCTGATTCACGTCTGACAGCAAGCAGAGAGGGCAGAGAAGTGATTGCGCTTCCAGTTTTGCTCTTTGAGACAAATCACAGCTTTTCTAACAATTAGATTTTCCCCAGTCTTCTGCCTAGAGGAGCGAGCAAGGTTTTACACTGCCGTCCAAACTTCCTTCTTGTCCGTTCCAGCTTTGTGGAAGGAAAATTGGCTGACACAATACAGAGAGGGGCTTATTGACAGCCTCATGCTCATCTGATAAATGGCCTGCTGCATTTCTGGGCCCATCCTGTCCGAATCTGATGAGCAGAAATAGACAGATTCCCTTCAATTTCTGAATTCTCTGTGCAGTAAATACCAACAGCTTCTGATTGTCAGGACAACAGACAAACCTGGTGTGCATTTACCACCCTGCCTATTTGCAGATTGGACCAAGCAGCACCTCCTTCCCTTTCTCCTTCCTGATCCATGCACAGTGTCTCTGTGAAGGCTGAAAAGCTGGCTGCTTACCAGGGATAACTCATTTTGGTGGACAACATATTTTCACAAAAACAGGAGACTTTGGGTTTACAGTCGGGTCTGCATTAGCAGTGATGCTGCACGCTGGTGTGTTGCTGAAATGGAGGAAAAAATCTGTGCGTGCAGCATCAAGGAACATGAAGGAACATCGAGACCTGGTGGTCTGCTCTAGCTTTGTGCTTGGGGAAGTCTCTGGCTGCCCAGTATCGTGCCCCAGCAGCCTCCACGCAGGGTGCTGCTGTCACTGCACGCCTCGGGCTGCTCCCACAGCGAGCACACGGCTGCAGGAGGCCCCATGGAGATGCCCAGAAGGACTCGGAGGCACTTTGGGGAGCTGGAGGTCGGGCAGCATTGTGAGCAGGGAGCAGCGGTGCCAGGGTGAAGAAAAGAGCCTCAACGAGACGACATCAAACCTCATCCTCTCCTTTCGGAAACCACAGCCCAGAGAGACCCAGGGGTGCAGACAGGCGGTGCTGTAGAAGGGGAGCAAAAAGCCCAGCACTCAGCCCCAGCTTCAGCTCCTCCAGGCCCTGGGGGATGCTCAGCGCCCGGCGGGGCTCCTGGCAGAGCCCGAGGGCTCCCTGGGCTGGATTCGTGTTCGCAGCCTCCCACCTAGAGGATTGAGCGGGGTGGTGCAATCCCCCGGCAAGTCCCGGGGTTCCCACAGGGCAGGGAGAGTCAGACCCCTGCTGGAAAATGCCCTCACGGGGGAGACGGGGGCCAGGCACCCCCAGGGGCTGGCACCCACCCGTGGGGCTGACACCCCCATCCACACCTGTTGTTAAACCTTGCTGATATTTTTATTTTATTATTTTTATTATTTTATTTTATTTTATTTTATTTTATTTTATTTTATTTTATTTTATTTTATTTTATTTATTTTATTTATTATTTATTATTTTAGTTTACTTTATTTTATATTTCCTTTCCTTTCCTTTTATTTATATTTCATTTCATTTTTATTTTATTTTATTTTTCACTGCTTCTGCCTCCCTGAGCAGTTTCAGTTTGTTGCTGACCTTTCCCGCTGTTTAAGGCAGATACCCTTTTACACATCACTAGCTCTCCTATTGGCAAAAACGCAATTTCAGGAAAAATAAAAGACCTTTTATTTTTCCAGCAGCACCCAGCATCACCTTGTACAGCCTAAATCAGCAGCAATGACCTCAGATTCACCGAAGTGGCGTATCTCCTGTGAAGGCCACGAGTCCAGGTGTGGGAAACCGGGTCTGAAGTCCCTGAAGGAACACCTCTGTGTGGCTGTGTTTGCAGGAGACATCCCCTCCTGCTTCACACCATGATGAGCATCCCACGCTGAGCATCCCCACCGCAGGCCAGTCCCAGCACTGCCACCACAAATGGGCAGTGGGTGGCACAGCATCGGTGCTGAGACCCCCCCGGGCTCCACATAGCACAGGGCTGCAAACTATCAGTCCATTTAACGTGACAATAAAAAAATCCCTGCTAATAACCACTGCAGCTTAAGGCATTTAGACAATTCTCTATCTTTCCGTAATTCTTTGTAATAATAATTAAATGACCTTTAAAACGGCAGTGGGTGGAAGAAATTCGGTAAAGCTGAATAGCAATTCAGCAGCTGCTCGAGAATACTGAAAATCAAGAAGAGAAAAAGACTTTGATGTTCAGGGATTGAGGAAAAAAAAAAAAAAAAAAGAAGTGAAGCAATCAAGTGCGAAGCTGGAAGTTTGTTCTTCATTTGCACTGATTTCCAGGTCCTGTTTGGCAGAATAAATATGAGAGCACTAAAAAAACAGAACAGTGAGCACAGGAACCTCGACTGCACCAAGCCGCATTTTGTCTGGTATTTTTTTGTCAAGAAAGAGCAAAGCAGGTGACTGCAGAAAGCTCCTGTCAGGGAATTTTGTCCTGACCAGCAGATGTTAGCGAGTGGCCAGGCTGGGGCTGCTCGGGTCCTTCTGCAGCTCCCTTCCCAAACCCGCTTAAAACACCTGGGGGTGCTCACAGACCAGGGCTGGGCTCCGGGTTTTGTGCAGGAGCTGGAAGAGGAAGGTGCAGGCAGCAAAGGGCCCTGCTGCCCTTTGTCTGGGTGCTGGTTTCCCTCCTGCCCACCCAACACCCACGTTCCTGGCCTGACCCGAAGCCACGGTGATGGTCTCACGGTGCCAGCCCTCAGCGGGGCTCCCTGAGGTCCTCCTGCAGGAGGGGACAGCAGGGCTAGGCGCAGCTCTGGAGAATTATTTGGCCTCTCAAGTGCCACGCAGAAATCCCTCAGCTGAGCACCAGGTCCTGGGCTGGGTCCAGAGCAGGCACCGAGCCCTGGGAGAGGAGCTGCCGCCAGCCCAGCCTCCTCCCCAGTATCGCCCCGCTGCAGCCCTGCGTTGGGTTTGATCCCCTACAACACGCGGGATTTATCTCCCTCCCTTTCATGTGCCTTTAAGGGAACACCACTTTTTTTATCTCCTTTCTGCTGCTTTTTTATCATCACAAAGAGTTTTTAATGAAATGAGAAAGCGTCTGTTTCTGCCGGCCGGAGCGGCGTGGGTAATTTCAATATAAAACAAACAAGGCGGCTTTCAGAATTAAAATTTCATGTGTGGCGTTTTCTCATTTAACGGAATGCACAAAGATGGGCAAAACCAATTAACGGGAGGTTGAGACTCGGCGCTCGGCGGAATTAAACAACGGGACTCTGCAAAAGGACGGGTTTGTTCAAAGGGAGCAGGAAAAAGAGACAGGCAGGGGGAAAGGAAGCCGGGCTGCTCTGGGAAAGCCACCACCTCTCCAAGAAATAAACGCAGACAAACCTGCATCCTGCCTTGTGTGCCTCAGATGGGCTTCAGAGCCCCACAGGCGTGGTGGAAACACTGGGGAATGCAAAGATAATCACAGGATTGTAGAAACACAAGGTTGGAAGGGACCTACAAGATCATCCAGCCCATCCGTCCTCCTATCACCAATGCTACCCCCTAAAATGTCTGGAAATAGCTTCAGGGAAGTGATGGGAAGGTCTGAAGTCAGTGCCAGGAGGGGCTGGCTCCCAAAATGTGCCCGCCCCAGGCTGACAGTGCTGGCAGCTTGTGCAGGGAGAAAGGCTCCTCCACGAGCCCCCTCGGGCAGGTGCTGCTCCCTTCCTCAGGTCTCCCCCTGCTTCCAAATCCCACTGCCACCAGTGAAAAATCACTGCCAGCAGAGGTGAGGCTGGAGACAAAAAGGAAACCAACGTGGGGAGCAAGGACAGGGAGAGCCCCCCTGCACCCAGGCACCTGCAATGCCCTGCAACAGGGCTGGGATTAGTAGGATCACCGTGGGGGGGAGCAGACGAACCATCTTACAACAGGGGGAGAGGTGGAATTAAGGCTAATCACTCCTTATCAGCCTGGGGGCTGCGCCTGCAGAGCTCCAGATTTACGGTCCCTGGGCGCAAGCCAGACTTGGCCTCTGATTGCTGCAATCACCGGAAAATGGGGCCGAGGTTTATTTGCCTGTTTTGCACATAATTTGCGGGGTGAAGTGCTGAATGCGTTAAGGTGGGGAGGTTTCTGGACAGGTTCAAGCAGCGATTTAGCCTCGCTGAGGGCAGAGCGGGGGCTGCGATTCCTGCTCTGCAGCATTTTACAAATGGAAAAAGTCACGCACGCGTCTCGGGCAGCCCTCCCTGAGCCGGAGCAGTGGGAGAGCATCCCTGCTCGTGGTTAATAAAACTTGGGGCAGCGTCATTCACTGCGCTTCCAGCCCCGGGGGCCACAGGGCAAATGGTGGCAGAGGCAAAAGTCGTTTGTTAACGAGGGGCAGCAGCAGCTCAGCCCTGGGAAGAAGCTCACTCCTTGCACGTAGCAGCTCACAGCCCCGTGCCTTGAAAGAGGCAATTCCTGGAAGGAAGAGCTCGGAAAAGGAAGAGCCGAGGAGCCATTTGGTGAGCCAACAGCAGCCTGGGCAGGGAGAGGCCAGGAGTGCTCTGTACCCGCTTTACGGGGGAGTTGGAGCTAATATATCATTATTTTGGCCTGAAGCTACTTCTGGTCGGTTTGGCAGTGCTGGGTGAAGGGGGGAGCGTGGCCAGGCCAGCCGCAGGCCTGGGTTTGGTGGGGATTCACGCTCACAGCCAGCAGCACCCGGGGCTCCAAGGTGTGCCGGGGTCAGGACCGTGGAGCAGGAGCCCTCTCCTGTGCCTTGGAGATGAAACTCTGCACTGAAAGGCATCAAGCAAGGAAGGCTGTGGAAAGAGAAGAGCGAGCTGCCAAACCAGGTAATCCATCTCCGGAGCGTCTGCGTCAAGATGATTCATGCCTTGCAATTTACTCCCAGCTCAAATCTAAAGTAAATCAGCCCAGACTGCTGCACGCCTCCTGCGGTGGGACACAAAGCCAAGGTGCGGAGCAGAGCACCCACCCATCCATCTTGCCGGGCTCTCAGCTCCTGACTTTAATGCTTGTCCGACGTAATTAGACCCAAACTGCTCGTTGATAGGTGAAGGGAGGAGAGGAGGTGCCCTGGGAAAGGAGATGGGATGTGAAGGGGGATGATGAGAATGGATTTTTTTTCTTTTTTCTTTTTTTTTTAATATTCCATCCAGTTGCTTTTCTGAAGCAATGCCTTTCACATGAGAATAGCCCAGAAATAGCATTATCAATATTAGTTCCCACCTGTAATAAGAAACTTGTCCAAAGTTTTAATTACCTTTCCAACCATCTCACAGCTCTCCCTCCTCCTTGCCGTGCCTGCCAGCCCCACGCCACGCAGCCACCTCCAGCGCCAGCACCCGGAGCTGCCGGGCACCAGCTGCCTCCACTCTTAAACCACTTAAATACAAAAAGCTGGGGGCTTAGGCTCTTGCTGCTGAGACCTGCGGGATGCTGGGGTGTTCCCGGGGACCTGCAGGGATGAAGGCAAGCCACAGCTCTTTGGGTTCACCCTGGGAGCACCCAGGAGCAGCTCCTGGCCTGGCAGCGGTGTGGGGCTGGGTCAGGAGCACCCCGACCAGAGACCCTGCAGGGAAATCGGCTCCAGCAGCCGCAGGGAGGGCGAGGCCAGGCTCTGCTCTCATTTTCTGGCTATCAGGAGTAATCGCTGCCGCACAGCGTCGGGCATGAATGGCAATCAGCCACGATTGTCTGCCCTGGAGTGCGGCGCGGAGAGGGTCAGAGCCGCCCGCCCTGCAGCAGCTGCAGGCTAACAGAGCAGAAAAAGTCCTCGTGTGCCTACAGGCAGCCAGCCTTCACCCTCTGACATCTTCCACCTGCAAAGCCCAGAGCGTGCAGGGATGTCTGAGACCCAGCTCCTGTCCCCGGGCACCTCCTGCTCCCCGTGCTGCAGCTGCTCGGGGCGCTGCTCTCTCCACGACTCCCAGCAGCTGCTCGGGCTCGCTCGGTGCCACCGAAATTCCAATTCCTGTATTTCTGGGCAGTGCTGCAGTTGCGGAGCCAGACGAGAGGAGGAGAGGCGTGGCGATGATTTTCTTCGCCAGAAGACAGGGAAACATTTCAAAGCACCACAGCATCTCTGTGTCCTTCGTATCAAGCAGAGAGCTGCAGACCCACGGGGACGGAGCAGAGAGCCCCGGGCTCTGCCAGCTGCACACTTCTCACCCTGGGATGGTGAGGGGGCCACCAGCCAGCCCTGCCTCTTGTGGTCCCCGACAGCTCAGCACATTTCCTAGGCTCTCTGGCTGTTCCCCAGCTGCCTGCAGGTCGGGGCTGTGTTTCATGGGCTGTTCCTGCAGTTTATCACTTGACCTTATAAACTTTTCCAGGATAACGTGTTCCCTCAGTGTTCCAGAGGCAACAGCAGGCTGAGAGCGAGCTGGCTCCTTCCAGAGGAATCAGCGCTGGGGGAGAAGCTTCACCTCGGGGCTTCCAGCCCAGACCTCCTCCCCTGCAGGGATGCAGTGGCCAGGCAGGGTGGCTTCACTGGAACATCCAAGCAAGGTCGGAGCAGCCCTCGTGGCTCCTCCACGGTCCTCAGCAGCAGGAGAAATATCCCTCCCCACACCAGCTGTGTCCTTACACATCCTTCCACCCACATCTGCCCCTCTCCACTGCTGGGACAGCATCCTGCAAGCTGCAGGGGCACCCACTGCTGTGTGCTGGCTGGGGGGGCCCATCTGAGCTGCTTTCAGGTGGCACTGCCACCTCCACGCACGGCTCCTTGGCTGAGCCCCCAGCTCGGCCCCGTTTCACAGTCGGGGGGAGCTGAGCTGATTAGTTCTGCTGCGAAGGCGGGTAATTAAGAGGTTTGGCTGCCGGTCCTGGAAACGGTGACAAAGTGCAATAAGTCTGCTAATGAGCCAGACACACTTTAAACACTAATTCACTTTATGAGTGCTGTTGCTGCTCAGATTAAGTATTTATCTACTTGTTTAATACGAATCAATAAGCTAATAAGAGTTCGATGGAAGTGACATTTGGGGAACTCTGCAGTCATTTGTAAGTCATGTTTTAACGCCTCTTCTAATGAGCAATATTAGCTCCGTGCAAATCAGGCCGTGTGAGGAAAGCAATGAAGCCTCTTAGAGCTCTGCAGCCTTGCAGGCCTGGAGAGCTTTGCCACGTCTGCTTCCCAAATTCCTCCTTCCCCCTTGGCAGGAACAGGCCCAAAGGGCCGGGGAGCAGACTCCCAGCAAGAGCAGGAGATGAAGCCAAGCTCTGGCACGGCCAAAGCCGTGTGTGGGCACGGTTTGGGAACCGCTTTGACTTGCTCTCTACCAAGACTTTGCCCTTTGCAGGAGCAGGGGCAGTTACCCCTAAAGCTTATTTTAATTTTGCCTCCATTCCTTTAAGCCAGGGGGGCCAGAAGTTCTTGGAGAAAGCGATCTGCCTGCCTGGAGCATCACAGGCACAGCCAGGAAATGGGCAGGAAAATGCAAGAAAAGCTCCAGGAATTTCATCCCCAGGGAAGGGAAGGACCTCAGGGTGCTGTCCGAGCTCTCTGCTGCTCCAGGCCCGGCTGCCCCATCTCTGACTGGACATTTTTAGGCCGTTTCCTACAGGGATCTGGTGAAGGAGCTGGTAGCTGCTCTTCGGCAGCCCCTGCTCAGCACCATCCTGCAGCTGTGCCGTCTGGAGCTGTGCCTGCAGCACGTCCTAGGAGGGGTACCCAGAAGAAATCATTTCCAGAAGGGCTGCCCTTTATCTGCTGCAGCCAGTGCTTAGTTAGCTGAATATTTCATGCTGCTGTGTTTGGTTGCTTTTCTAACTCCTCCGAAGTGAGAAGACAAACTTTAAAATCTATTGTCTTGGGCCATTTTGCATCTGTTACCCCAATGGCTGCGGTCCCAGCGCTGCAGGCACCATATGGCTTGCATTGTTGTCAGGAAAGGAGCGCGCAGGCAAATAAAGAACAGCAGGACTGCCAAAACGAGGGGTCTGGAATTAAAATTCACCTTGCTGCTAGCTGCAGACTAAATGATGAAGCCAGAGGGACCGAGGATCTCTTTGCAGTGCTGAGAGCTGTGTTCATTTCTCTTCTGAAGGAGCCCTGAAGTATTTCTGTGGTGTCTGACTTAAAAACACGGGGGTCACTTTCACCCCGAGTGCAGCACGACGCTTCCCACTACTGCTAATGAGAGCTGCACAGATACCAGAGTGGCAAAACAGGCCCTAAATAGTGCTTACATTTTTCACGGCATGGGAAATGAGAGCGTCCCTGAAGGGAGCTGCTTCTGGGAAGTGCTGGCGTGGCGGAAATCACCTGTTCAGGGAGCAAACCTGCAATGAGGGAGCTGCCTGCCGGGTGCTCTGTACCCGAACGTGCCTCAGCCCCGTGTGATGAGGCTGTAAGCGTGGGGCTGCCAGAACCCACCGCCCATTTCATTATCAGCACAGGGAAAGGGGTGAACGAGGCCTGGCCCTGCTCAACCTCCACCAGCCGAGGCTGTGCACGGCCAGGCCTCGGATTTGGGGCCTGCTTTGGCCCTGACCCGGCACCACCATCCAGGAGGGGATGAGAGGGGCTGCGAAACCCACGTGTGGGTTTGTGGGTGTGCTGGCTTGGAAAACAGCTTTTATTTGGTGTTGTTCACCAAATGAAAAGGAGGTGGAGATGCTTCTGTGAGAAAAGCAGCGGTCTATTCGCTTTTGTGCTGCCGCGGTGGGTAAGGCCAGGCCGCTGTCCTCCTGCAGCAGGCTGCCAGCACAGCTCGGCTTATAACGGGTACAGATCAGCACAGATGCGTCCAGCTCGGCAGATAATGGGTACAGCTCAGCACACACGGGTACAAACCACAACCCAGACCTCTCTTGTCGGAGATCATCGCACCTCTGGGGCCCAGCCCGTCCGCTGGTGCTCCCCCTCCCACGCAGGGCACGGATTTCTTCATCCTCTTGGCTGAATGCTTGAATAGGCCCCGGCTCGACAACCATAAGGCACCTGCTGGAGGATGCTTCCCGCTAATGAGATCTCCGAGGGTTTCTGCTTTCACCTTTCTCCGCTCTCCTCCGTATCCGCACCGGCAGCGGGCTGGTGCTGCCATCAGCATCCATCTCCTGCCGCCTCCAGCTCTCGGGTGCTTTCGTGGGGAATCGGTCACAGAACTTCCTCTGCAAAATTTGGCATGAAAGGGGCTTCCTTCCCCTTCACAGCTGAAGCAAAGAGCAGTTAGCGATGTGGTGGTTTTAGGGAGGGAGCCCGGGAATGAACAAGCTCCTGTGCACAAGCAGGTAAGATGCACAAACAGCGGTGGGCAAAGAGCCCGGACCTCACAAACCCAGCAAACCCAGCAGTGCTCTGTGAGAACCCGCCAGAAATCCTCCCTAATTAAACGCTAAATTGTGCATTTCAGCACTCTTCATCTCTTCAGAGAGGGAAGCAGTGCCCTGTCTCCCAGGGTGCCACATGTTTATGGCCACATGTAAGGGAAGGCATGCACCAAACATACAGAGACTGAATTGTTCAGGAGCTGTACCAGCAAAGGGATCCTCTCTTTTTGGTGAAAGCCACTAAAGCTGCCTTCCTCGCATCTTTTTGATAGTGAACCAAAGGAGCTTGCTCCTGGAGCATCACCGGGCACATCCAGAGGTGTCCCCACACAGGCAGCTGATGGGGACAGGGCTGCAGCACAGGGGGGACGTCTGGCTGCCCCCATCCCTGGGACCAGGCAGGAGCTCCAGCCATGGGCAGGGGTCCTCAGACCCCACCAGGGGAGAGCTCTACCCATGGAGAGCTCGTCCTTCTGTCCCCTCCTAGCCAGGCTTTGCCTGGACAAGGTGGGACTCGGATCTCAGCTCCTGATTTCCTCTGCTCTGCTTTATCCCTCTCCTTTGAGGATTTTTTTCCCAAGACCCGTGGAGATCTTTGATCTCGGAATATTGACGTGAATATTGCATGATCCTGCCTCAGCCTCCAGGAAGCCCAGATGTTCAATTGATTAGATCTTAACACCAAGTTCAACAACTCCAAAGAGCACATGAAATAATAAACTTGTTCCGGCAAAGTTCCTCTGTTCAGGATCAAACTCGGGGTTAATTCATTATTCCTGACAGCGATTGCAGGAGACAGAGCAGCTCAGTAAACTAATTGTGGGGTGGGCTCTGCCTGAGCTGAAGTCAACAGGTCACACACAATTAACATTCAAATCAACCCGAGGCAGAAAGCGGCACCAAGCTCCTCGTACGGGGGTCTGCACGTCCCCTACGAGAGGCACAGAAACCTCGCACGGGAGGAGCAGGGAAGACTCAAGGACTGAAACAGGGGATGGGGATGAAATGTGACGGCAGCCGCTAGGCTCTGGCATCGCTCCCCCTGCCAGATGTTCCCCAAACACCCGCAGCTCCTCC